CTCTTTAAGAATTTAATTGTTTATATTCCCTATTCCCATTGGGATGTGAGCACATTTTAATATTTCTATGGTGAAAGATAGGTGCCCTTAAAATAAGAATTAAAGTTTTTTCATAGATTTGACCTATGACTTCCTATGACCTATGACTTCCTGACACTGACACCTAAGTCTATATTGTTCTCTCTTTTTTTAAAGAATTCTTCATTTAAATTCATTTACTTATTTATTTATTTTAATTTGACCAGAGAGGGACAGAATGAGTGGAGTAGGGGTAGGGAGTGAGAAAGCAAGCCTCCAGGTCCGGGACTCGAACCGCAGTCAGCCATGTGGGAGTCCAGTGCCCTTAACCATCATGCCATCTGCTGGCCCCTGACATTATTATCTTAAAGATATTATTAACAATATGAAGTATTATTTATACATATGAAGTTCTTGGCAAAAGTTTACATACCCCATTGAATTTATTTAATCTTCATAACAAATTAAGGAAGAAAAAAATGAAATTTTCAGATAAGTTGAGGTCTTGGGGGGAAGCTGTTTTTCTCTTCTTGTGAAAAAAATTAATTCCAAAGTAAAAAAAAAAAAAAAAGGAAAATACAAAATCAAAACAGATAACAAGCCCAGTTCAAATAAAAACTAATTTGAAATGGCATACATAGACCTTTGCTGGGAGATGGTACGTACCACGGTCAGACAATCTGAGCAAGAACTGGATGACCTGAGACAATCTACTTCCTGTCTGTGGCTCAGCTACACAGTGAGGAGGAAAAGCATACTCACCTCACAGGGCTGTTATGGCATTTAAGTGAGAACCTGTATGTGGAGTACTTAGAAGAGTGCTTGGTACATATTAAGATTTCAATATCTAGCAGTTAACTATTGTCCAATCAAATCATATCAATCTTTCATTCCCAGAACTAGAATAATGTAAGATTTTGGATAAACTCTCATTGAAAACACCCACAAAAAGTCACTAATTTTCTATTCTAAAACTTTATATGTGAAAATAATTTAAAATTTACAAAAGGTTACAAAAATTAAAATGAAATAAAAAACATTTATGTACCAACTTTTTTTGTTTTGGGGTTTTTTTTTGTTTTTTTTGGGGGGGGGTTGTTTTGTTTTGTTTTGTTTTTAGAGAGGTTTTTGCTATAGGGCACATGCGCTCACCAGACAGACAGAGAGAGACAGAGAGACAGAAAGCGAGAAATCACCACTCAAGGGGGATGGACACACTGCAATCCCTTCTCCTCCATTCTCCTATCGGGATCTTGGGCATGCACGCACATGCGCCCAGTGTGAGTTTTAAGCCACCGGGTCCTGGACGCGAACTGCGGTCGACTACATGGGAGTCCAGCGACATAGCCATTATGCTAACTGCTAGTCCCTGTACCAACTTTTTACCCAAATTTGATTATAACATATATTATCCCCTTCTTTGTCATTTGCACTGCAGATAATTACAAACCTATTTCTCTTTATAAGTTTTTTGGAGGCATTATGTTTTCAACTTCATTTCAGTTTTGTTTCTAGAGTCTTTACATAATATCCAACACATTTAGACCTAAATATGAATGATTTTCTTGCCGATTATCATTAATTTCTGTTTGTTTTCTTATTTTATTTTTTATTAGTTTTTTAAACATTCAATTGCTATACATCATTTGGCTTGTAAAGAGAATTTACCCAACCTGAAATACATCTCAGACCAGTCCAGTTGAGAATACTATACACATTATCATCAATAGGTAATAAACCATTTCTGTGTCCCACAAATGTCTTGCCTTTCTATTTTTTCTCCCCGATTTCCTTCCCTATATCTTCCCTTCTCCTGCCGTTCTTTCACACTGTCTCCAGGGTCCATAACTATTTTCGCTGCTTTCATGTCCTCAGTCTTTCAGTCTCTACCACAGAGTGTGGACTGCTGCTTTCATGTCCTCCAGTCTTTCAGTCTCTACCACAGAGTGTGGACAGGAGACATACCATATCTTTCTTTCATAGCCTGGCTTGCTTCACTCAGCAATAAAGCCTCCATATTGAACCACTCTCTATCAAATGCCAGGGTTTTGTTATTTTTTATGGTATTATTCATCAGTTTTCATGTATTCATATTGTGTCACTCAGTAACAAATTACCACACAATTAGCAGCTTAAAACACCACCATTGCATAAGCTCCCAGTTCTGAAGTCTGGGGACAAGGTGGCTGAGTTCTCTGCTCAGTCTCACAAAGCTAAAATCAAGGACTGGTTATTCTGAGCACCTTTCTGGAAGTTCTGGAAGAAGCCACTTCTGAGCTTATTCATTATTGATAGGCACATCCAGCAGCTAGGACTGAGGCCCCCGTTTTCTCACTGGCTCCCAACTGTGATCCTCTGTCAGGTCCTAGAGGTCACAGACATTCCTCGCAAGGTGGCCTCACCCATCTTCGGAGTCAGCATGAAGAATCTCGGGCATGGTAAATCCTATTCATACTCTGAATCTCCCTCCCAAACACAGTTCTTTTTAAGGGATCACCTGATTAGGTCAGACTTACTCAGGATAATCTCTCTTAAAAACAACTGACTTGGGGACCAGCAGTTAGCGTAATGGCTATGTCACTGGACTTCCATGTAGTTGACCGCAGTTCGCCTCCCGGACCCGGTGGCTTAAAACTCACGCCAGGCACATGTGCATGTGGGCCCAAGATCCCGAGAGGAGAATAGAGGAGAAGTGATTGCGGTGTGGCCATCCCCTCGGGGGGGGTGGTAATTTCTCGCTTTCTGTCTCTCTGTCTCTCTCTGTCTTTCTGGCGAGTGCATGCGCCCTATTCTCAAAAAACAAACAAACAAAATAAAACTGACTTGGGACCTTAATTACATTTGCAAAATCACAGGAGCACCTTGATTCATGTTTTTGTTTTTGGAGAGGTTTTTGCTATAGGGTGCGTGTGCTCACCAGAAAAATAGAGAGAGACAGAAAGCGAGAAATCATCCCCCGGGGGATGGCCACGCCTAAATCCCTTCTCCTACATTCTCCTTTCGGGATCTTGGGCACGCACACACACACACCCATTATGAGTTTAAGCCGCTGGATCGGGGCCTTGACCCACAGTCAACTACATGGGAGTCGAGCAATATAGCCATTACTCCATCTGCTGGTCCCAGCACCTTGATTAGTGTTTGAATAACTGGAAGGTGTGTGTGCAGCAAGGGCAGGGAGTTGGGAGGCCATTTCAGCACTGTGCCTTACTCTCTCTGATGAGGAATTGTGTAAATCTCCGTATTAGTCTGCCAGAGCTGCTCTAATAAAATCTCACAGATTGGGTAACTTAAATAACACAAATGTGTTTTCTCCCAATTCTGGAGGCTGGAAGTCCAAGGTCAAGATGTCAGCAGGTCTGGTTTCTTCTGAGACCTTTCTCCTTTGCTTGAAGATGGCCTTTTCCTCTTGCACGCACACACATGCTCTCTCACTGTGCCCAAATCCCCTCTTCCAACGAGAACACCTGTCATACTGGATGAGGACTTCAACATATGAATTTTATGAACTTGGGAGGGAAACAATTCAGTGTCCATGACAGTGTAATAACAAAATCGAGCCTTTTTAAAATTTTATTTTTTAGAGAGAGAGATTTTTGCTACAGGGTGTGAGCACTCACTGGAGAGACAGAGAAAAAGAGAGACAGAAAACCAGAAGTCAACAGCCAGGGGGAATAGCCACACGACAATCCCTTCTTCATTCTCCTCTTGGGATTTTGGGCATGCACGCACATGCACTGGGTGAGAGTTTCAAGCTGCTAGGTACCTTAACCACCATACCACCTGCTGCCACCACCCCCCCCACACACACACACACACCCAGCGTGATTTTAAAGCTGTTGGGTTTGAGACCAGGACAGCAGCCAGCTATGTGGGATCCAGCGCCTTAACCTCCATGCCACCTACTGGCCTCTGCAAGCTAGTTTATTTAACATGAGCCACTAAATTACATACCGATACATAAAATTTCAGCATTATTAGAATGTTTCCTTAATTCTTGATTAGAAATTCAGTGAGATTTTTATTGTGATCTGAGTCTTAGACCGATCTATCTCTACTGTGCATCCCGTCTCCATCCTGGGGAGTTGCATCCACCCAGCAAGTTTCATTGAGCAGATGAGCGAGGTACAGAGACACAAAGAGGAGTAACAAAATCCTTGCTCTCAGAGAGCATGGTCTAGCAGGAAGGACGCTTTATGTGTGTGTCTCCATGCACGTGTGGAAATAGCTTACATAAAGGGCTAGAGCTAATCCTGGGACCACTCTGCACAGTTCTTATGAAAGCTGAGGTACTGAAAATTAAAAATAACGATGTCAAGAAAGGGAAAACCCCTCTAAATAGTTGGTTTCCCATTATCTTCTTGAGTCACCACAACCCTAACTGTGCCACAACACTGTTGGTTATGACCTTTCAGACAGAATTCTCTGGTAGGAGAAAAACCACCTGGGATTTGAAAGTGAAAAGTAATGATAACATAAAAAAAAAAAAAAGCTACATCTGACTAGGTTAGGCGCCTCAAATTCCACTACAAGAGAGGGGTGGGGGGAGTAGAAGGGAGGAGAAGGACGGGAAGGGAAGGAAGCCCTTTATTTTCTTATTGTTTAATTGCACTCACTTTATGCCACTTGTCCAGAGACCTTCTTTCCTTCTGGAAGCAACGGTAGCATTTGCAAGCAATGAAGGAAATCTACGCCGCAGGCCGAGGTGCTTCTCAGCTGCGGGCAGACTCAGGCGATTCCACCTGCGCCGGGATGCCTTCTTGCTCACAGGCCCTGTTCCCTCTCGTCTTCTGCTGCCAGCCCACCTTCACCGTCTGCAGTCTTTGGCGCCCGGCCCCCGCCCGACCCCGCCTCGCCACGTGCAGTCCCGGGGCTGATAAATGGCTCCTGCGCGCTGGGCCCGGTGGGCCTTGTGGCCGCTTGCTCTACTTGCCCACGGCTCTCACGCTCCCGACGTGGCTCCTGAAATAAGACTTCCATCCATGGAGGAGCAGAAGTACCTGGAGCTCTACCTGGACCAGTGCGTTGCCCAGGTGAGCTTGGAAGCTGCCCCACGACCCCAGTCAGTGCCGGGGTTCCCGCCCTGCTGCTGAGCGCAGAGTCCCGGGTGCGAAGGACTTGCCCTTCGTCAACTCTTTACGACCCCAGAGTCGCCTGCAGGAGTGCGCTTGATTACGCCTTCGGCTGAACGTTAGAAGCGTCAAGAGGTGAAATTATTCATACTTGCCCAAGTTTGCCAACCGGCACTCCACCCTGGTCTAGCGTGAACCCAGGGCCATCCACCCAGTTTTCAGGTCCACCCCGGCCCTCAGGCTCGTGCTTACTGTAGTGACCCCGGCTCCAGCGAGTCCCTGCTTTGCCAGGGCCAACAAAGACCCGCTAGTCCATGCCCCATCGGTGTTCTTTAAGGGGTGGCAGCCTTTCGTGCCAACAAAGGCCTCAAGAAATAAAGTCTCCCCGATGAGATGGTGGTCACGAGGTTTGCCAGCTTGTGAATGGGACACCTGTGGCTTCAATTAAGTTGGTTCTTTTGATTAAAAAAATCTTTAGTGTCAAGTTTTATAAAGAGAAGAAGGAATCTTTAAAAAAAATAATAAAAGGTTGGGCCAGCTGGTGGCACGGTGGTTACGTGGCTAGATCCCACAGGCTAACTGCAGTTGGAGTTCTGGATTTTGCCTAGTGATGAGAGCATGTGCCTGTGTGCCCAGTATCCCAAAAGAAGGAGCGATGGAGGAGAAGGAATTGTGGCATGGCCATGAGCGGGCGTTTCTCACTTTCCTACTTTCTCTCTGCGTCTCCGTGAGCTCACACACCCTCTACGCAAAAAGAAAAAAGAAAAAGGGGGGGGGGTGAGCAAAAGAGCAACTTCGCAGGAGATTTTAGGTTTTTGCCATAAGGTGCATGTGCTCACTGGAGACAAAAGGAAAGTGAGAAATCACGCCACGACCCCCTGGGGGTTGGGGGTGGCTATGCTAAAATTCCTTCTCTTCCATTCTACTCCCTGGCTTTGGGGTGCACGCTCACCCAGCGTGATATTTCAAGCTGCCAGGTCCAGGACTCAAACTAGAGTCCAGCATCAACTGATGGCACCTGTGGGAGATTTTTTGTAAGTCACAGGGATGGGCACTGAGGTAGAAACGGTGCCTTTCCATAGCCTTAACGTAGCAAGGGAGGGTGCACACTGGACGGATGAATTGATGGCTCTGCAAAAACCATTTCTTCAGCCACGAGGCCAGGGATACAGTGAGCATGAGCGTGCTGCACCTACATCCCCTGAGGTGTGCCCCTACTGGCACAGGCACACTCGGAAGGAGGCTGTCATGGTTTCATTGCCATAAAGCCACCTCCTCAACACCTTGTTGCCATGCCTGAAGTTCCCTGTTGAAATTTAGTTTCACTGGGTCAGCCCTTTGTCCCCTGATAGAATGCCACAGTGGGAAAAAGGGGGACAATGATTGTTGCAGATGTTCGTGCTTTCATGTAAGTTGGCTGGTGAGACCCTTTCCGGCTAGGACAGGAGACAATGGAGAGAAATCAGGGCCCACTGTCCCCTCCTCGCTTTTCTTAGGGCTACTCTGTGGGGCGAGGATGGGAAAAGACGAGGCCTAATTACATCATTCCATAATTCAAAATGAAATAGAGGTTAAAAAATGTTATCTAGCCCAACACAGAGATGCCTGTGGCTAAGATCCTGCACTCCCCAGGCTGGGACCACACAGATGCAATTCCGATCTAATCTAAAGGCCAGGTGCAGTGGTGTCCAGCTGTGATCCGAGCAGACTGGGGAGGCCACTGCAGACAGATGGCAAGCTTGAGGCTGCCACGGGCAACAGAGTGAGACCCTGTCTAAAAATGCCACATACTGTGGGGAGTGTTTGCCGTCCCAGTGGGGAGGCTGAGGCAGGAGGAGCACCAAATAACAAGATCCAGTTGAATATTTTTTTTTAATTTTAAGGTTTCATTTTTCTAAGAGTTTTCTTTGAACAATTAGTCACCCCTGCCATCTGCTGGACTTGCAATAATAGAACAACTCAGTAGGATCCAGCCAGACATTGAGCGTTAGCCGAGGTTGCTTTCTCACCGAGAAGATGCAGTGCCCTGCGTTCATGACCGTAGATCTAAGGACAAGGTTATCCTGCAGCAGTGCTCAGCAGCAGGACTCTAGGCCTCACCCTGGGGAAGCAGCTACTACTGTATGCACCTAGGTAATAGATTTGTGTGTAGCACAGTCCCTGCATGGGGCATTAGCTGCTTGTCTCAGCTGCACCCTCAGGCGCTGAGTCAGGTGGTTGGGCAGCAGTCTTTCCTGGGCTGCACATGCCACACCTTGATTAAGCCCTTCTTGTCATTTAAATTTCAGGAACGGTTTTTCCTGTCCTAAGTTCCCGAAACTAGAATGTTTCATTATCTCTCCTTTGATTAGAAAGACTAATGGAGGGGCCAACAGGTGGCATGGTGGTTAAGGTGCTAGACTCCCACATAGCTGAATGTGATTCGAGTCTCCAGTGGCTTGAAAGTCACACAGGGCACATGTGCATGCATAGCCCAGAATCCCAAGAGGAGAATGGAGGAAAGGGGATTGTGGCATGGCCATCTCCCTTGAGGGAGGGGATGATCTCTCACTTTCTCCCTCTCTGTCACTCTTTAGGTGGGTGATGGGAATAACTAATGGATCTTTAGTGAATCTTGATCAATATATTCACGACTACATCCAGCAGTAGGCATAAAGGCTATGTCGCTGGACTCCTATGTAGTCGACCATGGTTTGAGTCCCAGACCTGGCGGCTTAAACTCACGCTGGGTGCGTGTGCGTGCATGCCGAGGATCCTGAGAGGAGAATGGAGAAGAGTCTGCAGCGTCGCCATCCTCCCGATGGTTGCTTTCTCACTTTCTGTCTCTCTGTCTCTTTCTGGCTCATGCACGCATCCTGTAGCAGAAACCTCTCCAAAAAAAAGAAAAGCACAGTGGACATGTGTACGCATGTCCAAAATCCAAAATCCTGATGGGATCATGAAATGGAGGGAAAAAGAATTACAGCATGACCATGCCCCATAGAAGGTTTGTTCTCTCTCTCTCTCAAGCACACTCTGGAGATTGGGAGGAAAAAGAGCATTGAATTATACACAATTTAGAGCATGGTTGATCAATCACTTCTATTACAAAATTTGATTTAGAGAAAGAGAAACTTACCAGAGATAAGTTAAACATTTTATTTAAAAAATGTTCTTTCTGCATTTTAAAATACAAAAGTCTTCTAAAAGTTCATGGAACATGGGTATTATGGGAAAACTATGAGTAGATATAAATTATTTTTTGCACCAAAATAAATTCATCCTTTAATTCTATTTTCCATGAACTTGTTTTGTTGTTGCTAGGGGTGCACACACTTGCCAGAGAGATAGCACCCCCCAATGGGGTATGGTCACTCTGCAGTGTTTTTTCCTCCATTGCTCCATCCCATCATGGTTTGGGGGATGCACACGCACACATCTTGTGGGTTTTTCAAGCTGCCACTGCTCCCTTTGTATACTTCTTCATTTTTATTAAATGTGCCACTACCCTGTAATTCAAATTTTTTTAAAGGTTTTTGCTGTAGGGCACATGTACTTGCTAGAGAGAAAGAGAGAAAGTGAGAAATCACCTCCAGGGTTGATGGCCACATTGCAGTCCCCCCTTCTCTATTCTCCTCCTGGGATTTTGGGCATGAGCACACACACACGCATGTCTGGCATGATATTTTTTTTTTTTTGGAGAGATTTTTGCTATAGGGCATGTGTGCTCGCCAGAAAAAGAGAGAGGAACAGAAAGTGAGAAATCACCCCCCAGGGGAGATGGCCACGCCCTTCTCCTCCATTCTCCTTTTGGGATCTTAGGCACGCATGCACACGCGCCCAGCATGAGTTTAAGTCATCAGGTCCAGGAATCAAACCGCGGTCACCTACGTGGGAGTCCAGCAACATAGCCATTTTGCTAACTGCTTGTCCCCCTGGCGTGATTTTTCAAACCACCAAGTCCAGGTCTCAAACTGTGGTCCACCACGTGTAGTGGTTACAAAGTTCAGCACCACCACTATGCCACCTGCTGCACCCCACCCCCAGTAATAGAATCTTAAGGTACTTTGTAGAAAGAGGCAGAACATGATTACAAGCAGTCTTGAACTACCTCCATACTGCTCATATTGCCTGTCTGCTATAGTAGTATTTTTGGGGTGTAACATGCCATTCTGTTTGCTGTGTTTTGTCTGTTTTGGGAACTGCCTAGGATGATCTTGCCTCACCTGGGTCTCCCCTGTTCGGCCCAGTTGTACCTTATGATGTGTACATACCGAATCCATCCAATCCAAAGACTGCGTGTAACTCACATCTTGAAGGAGTCAAAGAGCCATCTGGTGATTTCTCATCTGTGGATCTCAGCTTCCTACCAGATGAACTAACCCAAGAAAACAGAGACCACACTGACATTAGAAGCAAGCATGATATTGGAGAAAATTGTAAAACTGAAAGTCAACAAAGTGGGTCACTGTTATCCAGTGAACAGGACATCGGGCTGGGCATAACCAGTGGCAGTTTGTCAGAGTCCCCTTCACATCTGCGCACTGGTGATGCTGACTCAGTCCAGCCCTCTCCTGGGAATCCAGACTCCAACCCCTTGCCTCTGGCATCCATAACTCCCATGATGCCAATGACCCCTGCTTCAGAATGTTCTGAAATTGTGCCTCAACTACAGTAAGTTGTTTTGTTTTGTTTAAAGGATGGGGCCTGAACTGCAGTGTAACAGGTAATCACTGTCCAGAGGAAGCCAGATCCTACATGGTTGACCAGGGTTCCATTTTCAGCCAGCAGCTTGAGAAACATGTCAGGTGCATGTGCATGCCCAGAATCGTAACGGAAAGGAGAATTGGAGGAAAGAGCATTGCAGCATGGCTAGGTTCTCCCTCTCTCCCTCCCCTCTTCTCTCTCTCCCTCTCCCTGTCTCTATCTTGTACACACGTGCACACATCCTCAAGCACAGAAAATACCGTAAGATTGATACTAAGTAAAATAAAATGAAGTGGCCAGTGCTTCTGGGTACATTTATATTCCTGAATGCAATGGCAACTAATTTCAGGATAATAGTGTGAAGAATAGAATTTCAGATTTCATTACTCTTTATTTCATCAATTAATGGATGTGGCTTTAGACAGTTTGGTTATCTGTAAAATAAAGTACTAATTCTTGATACCCTAAGAGGAGGTTAAGATGAATAGGCACATTCTTGAAGGATTATGTCATTTGTATTAAAGCACTGAAATTGCTGACAGTTGTAGTGAGGGATGAATAAACACAAAAGATATAAAGATATGAAATTATATTCAGTTTGCAAATTGATTGTGATTTTTATTTTGAAGTATAGTTTTTTTGTTTTTTTGTTTTATTTTTATTTTTATTTTTTTTTAGAGATTTTCACTGTAGGGCGCGTGCGCTCGCCAGACAGACAGAGAGACATAGAGACAGAAAGCGAGAAATCACCCCCCAGGGGGGATGGTCACGCCGCAATCCCTTCTCCTCCATTCTCCTCTCGGGATCTTGGGCACGCACGCACACGCGCCCGGCGTGAGTTTTAAGCCACCGGGTCCGGGACACGAACCGCGGTCGACTACGTGGGAGTCCAGCGACATAGCCATTACGCTAACTGCTGGTTCCCTGAAGTATAGTTTTGAAAAAAGATTTGAAACTAAATTTTAGTTAACTAGTCATGAAATTTTAGGAAAAGCTATTTTAGTACTTCAGGATTATACATTTTGCTAGAGACCATGTTACTATGTATTTTGTATTTAGAATAATTCTCCCCCCAGGAAGTTGCTAGAGTATAATTTATGAAATGAGGACATTAATATGTTTTTGTCCTTTTTCCCTGTTTACATCTGATATAATTTTATAAATTATTTCTTCAGGAATATAGTTTCCACTGTAAACCTGGCCTGTAAATTGGACCTGAAGAAAATCGCTTTGCATGCAAAAAATGCAGAATATAACCCAAAGGTACGATTTCAACAATTAGTTTCCCTTTAGCTTTACTTTCCTTCATATGATATTGACTCATGCTTTTGTCTTTGATTTTCTAAAAACAAAAAAAACCCTTTTGAGTTGTCAAAAACTTTTCACTAGGCCACTCTCTCTATTGTGAAGTTATAACTAATCTCATTCTCTTTGTTGAATAAAGCAGTAATTTGAACAGTTCCTAAAAGTTAAGATCTTCCCCTTGTTATTCAAAAAATTTTTCAGTGTGATTATTGGGATACTAGTTTTCTTTTTTAATAATAATTAACTTTATTTATTTATTTTAATTTGACCTGAGAGGGACAGTGAGAGTGAGAAAGAGAGAGAAAGTGAGAAAGCAAGCCACCAGGTCTAGGATTCAAACCATGGTCAGCCATGTGGGAGTCCAACGCCCTTAACCACCATGCCACCTGCCAGCCTCATGGACACTAGTTTTCTTAAAATACCATCCTATTTTCTGAAAATACTTTTTCTCTCTTCTCTCTTCAGAAAGAGAGGCAGGCGGGCAGGCAGGCATTCCCAGCATGGTCTTTATACTGCAATAGCCCTCAGCCAGGCCCAGATCACTGACATGTGCATGCACACTCACTTCCATAGGAAGGCCCTGGGATGCGAATCCAGGACCTTTCCCATGTGGGTCCAATTGCCTTACCGTTGTGCCACCTCCTGGCCCTGAAGGTATTATTTTTTCCCCTAAGTGTTGTCCTAGCTAGCTGACACTGTATTTTTCCATTTCCTCTTATTTGAGAGAGCTAAATTGTTTGAAGTATAAAGTTCTAGCTCTTACCTACTAATGAAAGATTCAGGAATCATCCCCTCTTGAAGCTTAAAAGCTTTCTTGTTTCTTGTCAAGACCAGGCTTCCTCTTTTCCATGCCTCGTTTCCCTAGGGGGATCGGATTTATTAACCTGATCAGCATCGAACAATTGGCCAGGCTCTGTGCTTAGGAATACAAAGATGAGTAAGACTCCATTGCTACGGGGGACTTTGTTCACTGACTTAGGTGGCAGAGGATTTGTGGAGTTCGACAATAAATTTATGGATTAAATACTTGTTTTGCTGCTGCGGTCCTACTGTTGCTCACATCTCAGTTTAATGTTTTCCAAATACAATATAGCTTTCCTTTTTAAATGTCACATAGCTGGCTATGATGAAGGCAGAAACACGATGATGAGCTAGGATTCTTTATGGCTGCAGCCATGGCCGATCACGTTACTGAACCCTCAGCACCTCCCGTGTATTTTATTCTCCACTACCCTCAGCTCTCACCTCGTTGGGAAGGCTGAGGAAGTATATAGGATCTGTCCAAACTTGTACTTGAGGCCCAAAGAAATTCTGACTTGACACTTAAGATACTTTAAGGATTTAAGAAAATGGGTTGGTGTCAGTGAGTTCAACTAGCAGCACCTCCGGGAGAGCTTCTAGTTCACAATTGTTCTGAAATCAAAAAAAGAAAAAAAAAAAAAAAAGGAATTTAACAAAATGAAAATGAATGCAGAGTACTTTACTTCCTTTTAGTAATTACCTGGGAAACAGTCATGGGGCTGTTTTTCATAAGTACATTTAGAATTATAATCATTTTTGTTAATCTTTGTATGGAGAGAATAGGCTGAGATGTTACTTAGTTTTCCCATCTAATCTCAGTTTCTTTAAGATTTTATGGGACCAGGAGTCCCATGGCATAATGGCCATGTCACTGGATTCCCATGTAGGCGACCACGGTCCAAGTCCTGGACCCTGTGGCTTAAACTCATGCCAGGTGCGTGTGCGTGCCCAAGATCCTGAAAGGAGAATGGAGGAGAAGGGATTGCAGCATGGCCATCCCCCCTGGGGTGATTTCTCACTTTCTATCTCTCCATCTTTCTCTGTCTTTCTGGTGAGAGCACGTGCCCTATAGCAAAAACCTTTTCCAAAAAACCCCCAAAAAAACAAAAACAAAAAAAGATTTTATATCCAACTCAGCTTTTCAACTGGAATAGCGTTCATTCCTCGCAGCGGCTAATTCTCTTTCTGGCTTCTGTGTACAGAGGTTTGCTGCTGTCATAATGAGGATCCGAGAGCCCAGGACAACAGCCCTTATATTTAGCTCTGGGAAAATGGTCTGCACAGGAGCCAAAAGGTATGAAGAACCACCCTCCACCCTTACCAGATACACAGTTCAGTGTGTAAAACAACAAGCATTGCATTAATGTTCTCAAACACACAGATGGGCCAAAATACTCTTCTTTGCTGAAGAGTTCATTTCATGAGATGCTCAATTTTGGATTAAAATTGTGGGCTCTTGGCTCAGCTGGTACAACCAGCCTCTGTGGCCAGTTGGTAGCTTACCAGATTACAAAGCTGGAAGCCACATGCCAACTGTGCTTCAAGTCCCTGGCCCAAACAGCCTGAAATCACAATGGGCACATGCACACGTGCCCCAGATGCTGGAGGAAAGGGATTGCAGCATGACCGAGTTCTGTGGGGGGCAGCTTCTTGCCCTTTCTCCCTCTGTCATATACTCATGTGTTCCATCATGAGCTTGAAAAGGAAGAGTCACTAAATCTATAGTACTCATTTATATTCCACTCTCTATTATATACCCCCCAGCTGAAGGGACTTCTCTGGACAATTTTTTTTTTTTTTAAGATAAATTTTTGTTATAGGGTGCATGTGCTTGCCGGAGAGACGGAGATAGAAGAACAGAAAGTGAGAAATCACGCTCCCCCACCCCCACCCCGGGTGGGATGGCCATGCTACAATCCCTTCTCCTCCATTCTACTCTTGGGATGTTGGGTACATGTGCACACACGCCTGGTGTGAGTTTTAAGCCCCTGGGTTCAGGACTCGAACTACTGTCAACTACATGTAAGTCCAGCAATGTAATCATCATGCTATCTGCTGGTCCCTGGGCATCTTATTTTTAAGGCAGTTTTTGGTTTTGTTTTTGTTTTTTTGGAGAGGTTTTTGATATAGGGCACTTGCGCTTGCCAGAAAGACAGAGAGAGACAGAGGGACAGAAAGTTTGAAATCACCCCCTAGGGGGATGGACACGCCACAATCCCTTCTCCTCCATTCTCCGCTTGGGATCTTGGGCACGCACACACACGTGCCCAGTGTGAGTTTAAGCCGCCGGGTCCAGGACTCTAACCACGGTTGACTACATGGGAGTCCAGCGACATAGCCATTATGCCAACTGCTGGTCCCAAGGCACAGTTTCTTAAAAAAAATTTTAAAGGTAATGACAAAGGATGTTATAAGCGTGGGAAAGTAGTTGCTGTAGATTTTCCTCATAGCAGAGAAATGAATAGAACTTTCTAAAGGAAGGAAATTAGACATTTCTTGAACATTATCTTGAACATTAGTTCCAGGGGCATCTCCAAAAGGGCTCATCATTTCCTGGACCTTACGTAGAGAATGCCCTGTGCTGATACACGTTCTTCCACCGGAAAACTCTAGTGGGGGAGCTGCTCTCCAGTAAGTGTGAAAAGATGAGAGCAAACCGTCCTCCCGAAAGGATATGCCACTTTCTCCTCACTCTAGAGATGAGCTAAGTGCTCACTCTCTCCTGTATTTATAGGAATACTGGATATTAAGATTCTTCTTTAGATTTGCTAAATTGATTGGCAAAAAAAAGCTATGTTATTTTAATCTATATTTCTCTGATATGCTAGTGAGATAAACTCTTCATAAACCTGTAAACTATTGACTATCTCTTTAGCCTAATATTTTATGGAGAGATGTCTTCTGTTAACAGACTTTCATATTTAAGTATTTTTACTATTTTATACTGTAAATATTTTTTCCCAGATTACCATTTGTTACCTTTGTTACTTTTTTAATAGCTAAAATTTTTCATGTATAGTCAGTCTTTCCAACTTCTATGGGCAATTTCTTTTCTTTCTTTCTTTTTTTTTTTTTTTCAGAGATTTTTGCTATAGGGCACATGTGCTCACCAGAGAGATAGAGAGAGATAAAAAGCGAGAAATCACCCCCAGGGGGAATGACCAATCTATAATCCCTTTTCCATTCTCCTCTTGGGATGCACACCTGCCCAGTGTGAGTTTTTGTTTTTGTTTTTTGGAAAGGTTTTTGCTATAGGGTGCGTGTGCTCGCCAGAAATACAGAGACAGAAAGCGAGAAATCACCCCCCCAGGGGGGGATCAGAAAGTGAGAAATCACCCCCCCCCCAGGGGGGGATGACCACGCCGCAATCCCTTCTCCTCCATTCTCCTCTCAAGATCTTGGGCACGCATGCACAAGCACCCAGAGTGAGTGAGTTTAAGCCACCTGGTCTGGGGCTCGAACCACGGTCAACTACGTGGGAGTCCAGCGACATAGCCATTACGCCAACACCTGGTCCCCTGGCATGAGTTTTAAGCCTCTGGGCCCACGCCTTGAACCGCAGTCAACTATATGGGAGTCCAGCGTTTTGCTTTATGGTTTTTACATTTGGTTTCCTGATTAGGAAGGCATTCTTCATGCACAGAAGTACATACATTTACACAGTATGCAAATGTTGGCTTCCATATATTTTTCTGGTCTTTTTCAGGTCCTGCTTTGTACTGGGGAAGGGATAGTTACCATTCTGACTGAGCTAGAGCATTCTGGATAACAGAAATGTTCTGTATCTATGCTGTCCAACGTAGTAGTTGCTAGTCACATGTGGCTCTGAACACTTGAAATAAGCTAATACAGTTGAGGGACTGAATTTTTAATTTAAACAAATCAGTCAGAGCAGGTGTAGAATTTTGTTTCAATGTAAGGTTTTATATTTTTTTTTTCAAATATCCAGATAAATTTACGGAAGAGTCCATTCTTACCTCCATTTTCTGTCACCTGTTCTCACATATATTAGGTTCCTACATTTATCTGAGTAAGTTTCTGAACTTTCTCTTCTATTGATCTATGTATTCCCATAAAGACCCAAGTTTTGACATGTTGTCTTTGCCGCTTAGCCGGTACATATTTCACTTTCTCACTTTCTCACATTGATTTCTTTTGCACCCGTGTGTCCTTAGTTTTGTAAGCATTCCTATCTGAATCGAACACACTTCTAGACCAGATGGCTGGTTCTCAATCCTGAGTGAGCATCACCAGCACCCAGGCAGCTCATTAAAGCCCAAATGCCAGGCCCTGCCCCAGAGTTTCTGCATGACTGAGGTGGGTCCTGGGGTTCTGCATTTCCAACAAACTCCCAGATGACACTGCTGGTCTGGGGCACACTTTGAGAGCCCGTGGAATAATTAAGTTTACCAAATAGCACTAAAAACAAGTCAAAGAAGAAGTCTCTATGTGGGAAAGGAGACATATTTAGATAAAAATTCTTTTATGGTTCAGTTCAACAACTATGCATTGGAACAGACCTTTTACAAGGTGCCAGGAACAGAATGATAAGAGGTGGGTCCTTTTCCTCACAAAGCCTACAGTTTCATAGCGTACATCGAAAGATAAGCATGGTACAAATGGCAAAAAAATACAATCAAAAGTGCATGAATTCAAGACAGCTAGAAGAGAGGACAAATTAATGAAGACACCTCTAAACATTTACCTCTCCCCAGTGAAGAGCAATCTCGACTCGCAGCGAGAAAGTACGCTCGTGTGGTGCAGAAGCTTGGGTTCCCTGCCAGATTCCTTGACTTTAAAATCCAGAACATGGTTGGAAGTTGTGATGTGAGATTTCCCATCAGGCTGGAAGGTTTGGTGCTAACCCATCAGCAGTTCAGTAGGTATGACGATTACAGAGCTTGTCATTGAGTTTACTAAGATGTTGAAGTTACATATGGACTGCTTATATAAAGTATCCTTCAGAGAAAATTGTGATTACTAAAAAAGATGGGGTGGGGGAAGTAGCAGATGGTGTAATGGCTATATTACTTGACTCCCACGTACTTGACCATGGTTTGAATCCTGGACCCAGCAGCTTAAAACTCACACCAGGGTCATGTACATGCATGCCCAAAATCCCAAGAGGAGAATGGGAGAGAAGAAATTGCAACATGGCCATCCCTCCAAAGGGGGTGATTTCTCACTTTCTGTCTCTGTCTCTCTGGCAAGCTCATGCACCCTATAGCAAAAATCTCTCTTTAAAAAACAAACAACAACAACAACAACAAAAACGGAGGCACACAGGTGAAAGAGACAGTTCTGAGATGCTGTATCTGAGTTCTCCCAGGTTCCTATATATGTCTATCTTTTGAAATGGTGGTTCTCAAACTTAAATTGCACTGCAATCACATGGGCCGTATTAAAACACGCCTGCCTGTATCATCAAAAGTCTGTCTTAACTTTGCAGTTCTCTGAAGTTCACAGGTGGTATTAGTGCTGCTGGCCAGAGGCTATACTTTGAAACCCCTGCTCTGTAGATCTATTAATAAGTGCACGTGCTTAGTAAAGGCAGGGCAGGGAGAAGGGGGATGTGAGATAGTGGAAAGGGCCTGACAGCTGATGAGGGGAGAAAGGGTTGGTGAGAGGATGGAAAGAATGGCCACTGCCTATCTGTGCAGGCGGTCTTATCTAGTTTTTGTCCTATTTCGTTTGGGGGTTTTCTTTTCATTTGAGTAGCTGCAGCCTGCATTGCAATGTCTTCTGTAGCATATTCCCATTTCTAGGGCAGTGTATCTGGCTTTCCTGACTTCTTCCAGAGTAACTTCCTGTCTGAGAGCCAAAGCTCCTCTTCACCCTCCAGCTGGTTTAGTCCTTCTCCCTCAAGCTCAGGCCCTCAGAGAGCCATGATGAAGAGCTATGATGGAGGAAGATCAATCAACTCCACTCCTGGGATATACACATGGGTTAAGGCACTTGAACTGTTGTAGAATCACAGATGCTCTTAATTCCCTTGATCAAGCTTGAACTTAAAGTCCTTTCATTCCAACGTGTTACCTTTTCTTCACCACTGTGCACTCACTCTGTTTGATAGAGTGGATAGGGGTAGCTGTGATTTTTCTAACATTTACTTCTGGATGTTGGGAAGCATTACTGAGTAGAAGTCTCGAAAGGCTCTCTACAGTAGAGCAGAGAGTGGTGCTCCGGGAAGGTCAGGCCACCCATGTTGACTTTCACCTTTTCAGAAGGGTTAGCCTCCAGGCTGGTCCAATAAGAGTCTTCACAGCAGCCATCATGGGTCCTGTTCATCACTGAACTGAGCAGAGCATTTCCATGTTGTCTAGATTCACCCTTTAGATGCAAAGATTCATATACATTATAATGCTCCATTTATCAGATTTCTTTTTATTTTTTCCTATGTCTGTTGTCCATTAGCCGTTGTTTAGAAAACAGTTTTGTCTTATCAACTTCCTCTTGTCTCCTGACTTCTCTTAGGTAGACTTCCTCAGCCCTTCTAGGAAACTGTCCTCTCTGGGCAGGGGTATGGAGAAGCAGTCCTTAAATTCCATTGTCCTTTGTTCCGTGGAGAAGCCAGTTTGCATTCATTAGTAAATATGAACGAGCTGCTATTTATAGTAACAAATTCTGCATTTTATAAACTTGAGTAGTTTAATTTTCTTTCTCTATGTAGCACCTGTCCAAAGACAATGGCAGTGATCTAAACATCTTTTTAGATCCTATCTGCTAAAAGTATTTAACTTTAGCAGTTTATAAATGTACACAAAATGTGCTTATTATTGGGGAACTTGGAAAATTACTTTTTTTGAAAGATAGAGAACATTTAACCAACAAGAACTTGATATTACATTAAATCTGATGTCCTCTGTTATCTTAATTTCTTTTTTCTTTTTTTGAGTTTGTTATTTTTTATTTAAATTTATTTATTTTCATTTATTCACTATACATCATTACAGCATGCAAAATGAGATTTCCCATCCAGAATGCACTGTATATTGGCTCAATCAAGCACATCAACATATGTGTTATCGTCAACAAATAATTTTCCATTTCTTGTTTCCTGTATATTTTACTTTATTTTTTGCCATCCTTAATTCCCTGTCTCTCACCCTCTGCCATGTCCCACCCTCCTCCCACACTGTCTGTGGTATCCATGGTTGCTTTCTATGCCTTTTCCCCCCATTTTATTGATTCGCTAATGAACTTAATTAAATATTTCCAATAGCAAGCACAGCTGATATATACATATCCATGAACACAAGTCTGACTTTAGGCATAAACCTCAGTGAGTAGAATGAACATACTATAGAGTAGCTCCTAGCTAGGGCTATATAGCTTACTGCATCATCAAATTCTGTTATCTTAATTTCTAATAGCCAAGGATGGCTAACACCTGAGAACGTATCATGACCAAAAATTAACTCTGTTTATTATTGTAAGAAATTACCTAGGACACTCAAGACTCATCAAGATAGGCAAAAGGTTTTTGGTAAAATAGCTAACTTATTTAGAATTGTTTTAATATGCACCCTCCTATACTGAGTCTTGAATGTTATGGGAAAGTAATTGAATAGTATTGGTTTTAACTTTTCTCTTTTGTGTCTTAACAGTTATGAACCGGAACTGTTTCCTGGCCTTATTTATAGAATGGTAAAACCACGCATTGTTTTGCTTATCTTCGTGTCTGGAAAAGTTGTGTTGACAGGTAAATGCTAAGATTATTTTCTGATTTTTATAAAAGTCAATAGGTATATGTGTGCTTTGCTTTTCCTTTTAAATAGCTTTGTTCATCATTATAAAGGAATTCTTGTTATTATAGAATACCTGGAAAAACAAAAAGCGGAAAGGAATATAACATCACCCGCAAGTCTCAATACATAAAATGATAGGACTTTTTTCAAGTTCTTACGTTATCTTGATATTTATGTCCATCTTCGCATCTTATCTTTGTACCAGCACAAAGCTCATTGTTACAAATCCTCCATAGAGGCTTTTCATGGGTGCCAATATTCTAACACAGGGGTTGGCGAATACTTTCTGTACTGTTTTAGGTTTCATGAGCCATAGGGTTCGTCTGACCATCTGACCCATTGTAGTGTGTGTGTGGGTGTTTTTTTCTTTTTTTTTTTTTTTTTTTGTCTTTTTGAGGGGTTCATGCTATAGGGCACATGCGCTCCCCAGAAAGAGAGA